TTTCGTTCAGCAACGCGTCCAAAGTCTCTGTAACAGTGATCCTCTTTATTCAACGTCCTCCACTTGTGTAGAGTTCATTGACTGGCCGCGAGATCCCTTCCGAGTCATCCCCCCGCATTCCGGCCCGGCCCCGCCGCCGCCGCGCAGCCCTCAGCCCGGCCCGAGGCGGCTCGGCGCCGACTTGGGGGAGCTGCCAAGAGGATCGCCCTCCTCCCCGCCTCCCGCCGCCGCCGCCGCCTCCCGCTCGCCTCCCTGCTCCGTGCTCCCTTCCACGCTCGGCAGTCAGCCCACCAGGCACTCCGGACCGGCTGCGGGCGGGGCCGGGCGGGCCGAGAAGTCGGCGGCGCCCGCAGGCGGCGGCAGAGCGGGGGGCGCCCGACTGGAATCGGCGTCGCTGGCTCTGGCTCCGGGAGCCGAGCGTCTTTCCAGCCCGCCTCTTCCCCTCCTCTGCGCACCCCCAGAAGCAATGGGCGGCCCTTGGGCTCCTTAAGGTATTTTGGAACACCACGGCTCCCAAGTTTTAATGTTGATCTTCCCTAAAAAAGAAAAGCCAGCAAAAAGCATTTATTGAGCGCCTTGTGCATACCAGACACGGTGCCAGATTATTATTTATTTATTTTTTGCCAACGTAATCACAGTAGATCGTCTTAACAACTCTGTAAGGCAACGCGTTTTCTTTTTCCGTTTTACAGACCAGAACGCTGGACGCACAGAGACAGAGTCTCCTAATTTGGGAAGTGCACAGACTTTCAAGCTAATAGGACTGGGTTTCTGTCCTAGAGTTCCACTTGCTAACAGGGCCTTGAGCAGGTTTCTGACCTCTCAAAGCCTCAAGGCTTCCTGTCGTCAAAATGGGGGAAGCTGTATCCGCCTGCGAGGGGTCATGTGAGGACAAGGTGAGATGATATATATATGTGACAGGTGGGCACCCAGGGCCCTCCACGGTGCTCCCACTGGGAGACCTGCGCCAGGTGGGCACCCAGGGCCCCGCGGTGCTCCCATGGGAGACCTGAGACCTCAGCGCAGGCCTTCCTTCTGGCTGATTTGTGTTGCCCACTCTGCTGCTTTTTATCTGCCTTCTCCCCAACCCCATCCCAGTTTCCTCTTTTTTTAAGTCTGGGGACACCCCGTCTTGGGTTTTAGGGGGAAACCCCTAACTTGGGTCTCAAGTTTCCTCTTGGAGGAGAGAGTATCTCACTTGCTTCGAAATCAAACCAGAGCAAACAGAAGCTGCAGTTCCTCCCTCTCCCCATGCAAGAAGCACACTGAAGGGTGGGCTCCAGGAAACCACAGAGGGTCTGCAGAGACACTGATACCCCCGCACCACACACACACACACTCAGGACTTGGGCACTGAGTTGGCATGCCCTCCTACACCTTTGATCTCTTCCTGGCCCCCTATACTTGGCCTTGACCTCCATCTGCTTCTCCCTTCCCTGCCCTGGCTTTGCCTCATGCCTGGACTGCATACTGAATCACTAGTTGAAAGGATAATGAAAAAGCCAGTGAAGCAAAAGCCGCATATAAATTCCAAATACTAACGTTGATAATTATATGCTGCTGTCTGGAGGGAAACTCCAAGAGAGACCATGGTATTGTGTCAAGGGCCCTGGCCTGGGGCCCATGAGACCCAGGTCTTGCCTTTGGCATTAACTGACTGTGCAAGGGGTTGGCACTGTGGTGTAGTGAGTAAAGCTGCTGTCTGCAGTACCCCATCCCATATGGGCAATGGTTCAAGTCCCAGCTACTCTATTTCCGATCCAGTTCTCTGCTGTGGCCTGGGAAAGCAGTAGAAGATGGCCCAAGGCCTTGGGTCCCTGCACCTGCATGGGAGACCCAGAAGAAGCTCCTGGCTCCTGGCTTTGGATCAGCCTAGCTCCGGCTGTTGCGGCCATCTGGGGAGTGAACCACCAAATGGAAGACCTCTCTCTCTCTCTCTCTCTCTCTCTCTCTGCCTTTCAAATAAATAAATAAATAAATATTAACAACAAAAAAAGAATTCTTCATGGCATATAAACACAAGCATTTAAAAAAATTTTAGCTGTACAACCTTAGGTGGTTGCCTAATCTCTCTGGGCCTCCGCCTTAGGAGTCTGGGCCCCTTTAGCAGTGGGGTGGTGGCATATGAAGTCTCTAACTGTAAGCTAGTGCAGCGACACAAGTTTCTTTCAGGAAAACTACCCTAGCCTAGGGAGTGGCTCAGGGACCGAAGAATCGGCACTACACAGACTTCCCCTTCGTCTTTCCATTCCTTCTCGTGTGCTTGCCTTTCTCTCCCCACCAAGCATTTCCTGCTATGTACTGAAACTCAGCCCCTCTGCTCCGCCCCAAGAAAGCAAAGTCTAAGCCATAGTTCAGGCTGCTGAAGGAGCTGCATGAAGGGAGGTGGGGTGGGCAGATGCATTGACTGGCAGTTCAGACACACTGAGTAAGTGACAAGTGCACAGAGAAGGAAGGGAACAGCTCTGCCTGTGGGAGTCCCAGGAGGCTTCCTGGAGGAGGTGACATTTGGGCTAAGTTTTACTGAAGGCTGAAACATGCAGCAGACAGGCCAAGGGGAGAGGGACTTCCGGCTGGGAAGTTTGGGGGACTGGTGAGGAAGCTAGGGCAGAATCCTGGGGAGAGAGGGTGAGGACTTGCGCAAGCAGGAGTCAGGGGGGATGGGGAGCAGGGGGAGGGTTTAAGATGGTTCTGAGTGAGAACAGAGGAGAGAATGGCTGCAGGGAAGGGCATGGGTGTCAAGGGTGATGCTGGGGCCGCCTGCTCGGGAAGCTGGTGCCGCTGGCCGGAGGGTCTCAGGAGGGGGCAAACTGCGCTCACCCTGGGCAGTGCCGCCGAGGGCCATGCACCTCTCTGTTTCTAGACTTTTACACTTGCTCTGTCATTTTTCTTCTCCCTGGGGAAATTTCTTCAAGTAAAACTCCCTCCCCAGCCCCACCATCTTATCCTGATTGTCTTCATGGAAAAGGGCAAAGTCCAGGCTTGGGCCAGGACAGCTGAGTTGGCAGAGCAGCCCTGGAGGCCCACGTGGAGGAGGCAGCAGCTGTTTTCCCTAGGACCAGAGCTAAGTCCCTAGATAAGGGACAGAGTGGATGCTGTCCACTAGGACTCCTGTCCTGGTCTCCACCTTCCTCTCTGGCGTATCCTAGCACAATGCAGCCCTGGGCGGGGGGGGCTCTGTTCTGTCGGAGTCAGCTGGGGCTGTGATCTTCCTTTCATCAGCTTTTCTGTGCATCAACTCTTAGCTCTTTTCACGAGGGGTTGATGTCCTCACAGCGTTCCCTGGGGAATGTCAATCAGCGCCCAGGGTGGGGAGAGCTGCTTCACCCGCTGGGAGGGATGCTCCCCTCAAGGGGAAGGCGAGCCCAGCCCCCAGCCCAGGGAGCCCAGAACCTCGAGGCGAGGTCACAGTCAAAGCCTCACAGCTGTGACCCACAGAGCCCTGGGCTATGGGGGACAGGGACAGGTGAAATTTTGGCCCGCCCATCAGCTGACTCCTGTACCCACAGACGTGGGTCCTGGACAACCAAGGTTCAAGGAGGCGTGTATTTGTGGGTGCCAACAGGTAGTGGAATCAATTCGTGACTCTGTACCTGAGGAAGAGCCCTGCACACCCTCCCTGCGTCTGAGTCAGGCCCTCTGGTTAGAGACAGATGTCCCCTCTCACTCCGTAACAGCACAGTGAGAAGTCTGTCCCTGCAGTGTCTCTACTGGGGGTGTGGGGGCTTGGCCGTCTGCTAATACAGCCGCTCACTTCTCTCTCTAGGAGACTGCAAAACTGAGGACAAGCTCTTTAGAAACACACTGATTCAGGCCAGGGAGAGAAGAGGACGAGAATTCCCAGCCCCAGGCGGGCCTGACTCCCCCCCGACCCCCACTTTCCTGCCAGGCGCATGCTCGCCCAGGCCTGGGGACAGGGGTGGGTGAGGTCCCGCGACTTTGAAAGGCAGACCCAGAGCCAAAGGTGGAGGAAGAGAGCGGCCGCTGTTGGCCTCGCCCGGAGCCCCGACGTGAACTCTGGCATCCTCGGGGGCACGCAGAGGCAGAGAAGCCTGCGCTGTTGGCATTCCCCACTCTTCTGGAGCCCGGGTGCGGGAGAGTGTGGGCGCACTGGGGCAGGCGTGCCCCGTGGTGGCAAGCAGACCGAAGGGTTCTTTCACTTGATGCAGTGACACACAATGAAAACAGGTGGCAGAATAAGGATGCTTTTTATTGCCGTGCACTGAGCATCTGCTCAGCCTTGACTGTTCTCATGTGCTTCGCAGAGGCAATGTGTCATCCCCAGTTTACAGATGAGGAAAACGAGTCCCAAGGAAGTTACGTCATTTCCACCACGGGAAAAAGAATCAGAGCTCAGCACCAAGTGAGGGGACAAGGGATGAAGCCTGCCTCCTCCAGGCCCTTGAAGCCAAAGCCAGCCAGGCCCCGCAGAAAGAGGCCCTCTTTGCTTTCACCTTTTCCTGAGACGATGCAGAGTAAGCCCCAACCTCCCATGAGGTCTGTCTGGAGCCCTCTAAAGAGCCAAGACTCAGGACACACCCCCTCCCCCCCGGAGTGC